GGAAGTGTATCCACAGGAAGGAATTATTAAGGAATGAGTGTCCAGCTAAAAACGTTCTCTGTTTTTTAATAGATGGCAGATTTATGTGTAGGAGGAAWATTTCAAAGATGAAGTACCAGTCTTCCTTCAAGATATGTCAAAGGACATGCTTTAAGAGGGTAGTCACATAGCTGCCTCCCTGTGGCTTGTGACTTTATGATTTCATTCCTCCTGTAAATATTTAGCACTGACCAAGTTCAAGATCTGTAATGATTAAAAGGGGGAACAAAAGGACAGCAGGAGCCACCTTGTGATTAGAAGGTTTGTTTTCTAGAAAAGCCATTCCTCAGCCAAAGGGTTTCYGGAGATCAGGGAGGGCTGCTGAAGGCAGGGAACTGCTGTTTGGATCAAACAGAAATTTGTGTTTGCTCTCCTCTGTTCCCCTGAAATTGAAGCCTGTGAATGTAATTTTTGGCAGTGAAATTCCCAGTGAGATGATCAGAATCTCTGTTAGAGGAAGCCTAAATTCGGAGCAAAAACCAGGATTTGTGTCTGGTGTCATGTTCTGCTGCAGGGCTGCACCTGGCTGGTATCAGTGGGATCAGAGCTTGACTGCAGGCTCTGAATTGTGGTTTTAGAAACTCTCCTTCATGCTACAAATGTGACATCTGGAGCTTTAAATYATCCAATGCCAGGATGACTTTCTGGAAAGGTTTATACTCACAACCCAACCAAGTAAGCACTATTACACCACTGCTTGTTTTTGAATGTTCTCCTTTGGGAAATAGGTAAGAAAAGCATTTAGAAAAAAAGAACAAAAAAAACCAGAATCCCTTAGACAACTCCAGATAATGAGTAATGGAGGGGAAAAATATCTTCATTCTACTTGTTTTATTTATGACTGATGTAAAAATGCATGCAAAGAGAAGCACTTGTCAGCCACAGAATGAGCACAGATACAACTGCCTGCACTGTAAACATCAACAGACAGGAGTAGATATTTGTAAAACAACTTGGGAACTACTTTTAAGCAAGTTTTGATAAGTGACTTATCAAACCTATCTACCTTCATCTTCCTATGCAGTTTCACAATAATGCAGTTCTCATTTTAGATTTCCGTAAGTAACAGGAGTGGCCAAGGCTGATGATCCTCTGTGTGTGTGAATTAAAGTGATAGCAATGCAAATAACAGCTGTGTTTTAAAGCTGGCAGTACATGTGAGGGAGAAGAAAATGCCTTTTACTTTTCTTCCTCTCCTTTCACTTTCCTTCCTCAGCTTGTCCTCTCGTGCTGTTGTTATGTGGCATGTTTACAAACATGTCACTTTCTGGATGGCAGACCACATCCTGCTCGGAGGTTGAGAATTTTGGTAATCCTTTTAAAAAAACACGTTAATCACTTCATACACCAGAGACTCCTCTGTATCCTTACACATGTGGAAAATCCTGCCACCTACAAACGGATGCAGTAACTTAGCTGGAAGACACATCACATATTCCACTATTTCTAAACAATAATGGCCAAGCCCAATGAGTAACATTTGCTTCTCTCTCCTCGGCCACTCTCATTCCAGTCTGGTAAAATATGACCTGACCTCGCTTATTCACACCTTTGTCATCACTTGGCTGAACGGTCCTGAGGCACAAGCCCTGGCTGTGCTGTGCTTGCTGCGTGGGAAACTCCAGACAGGAGGAAAACCAGCTGCTGGTCTACTTGGCAATGAGATTTGCTACCTGCTCCCTGTTCCCTGTGCTGGCTTCCCGCTGGCCAGCCAATCACTCTCCACGTCTCACATCTCTGCTTTTCATTTTCAGGATGCTCAGAGGTCTGAGTCCTGCACTTCACTGACTGGCCACAGCTTTGAGATGGAGGCTCACTAGCAAAAGGCTTTTCTTTAATGCAATGCTTTATAAAATAATTTTTGTTTAGGAAATAAAAATGTCTTGTGTTTGACCCCTTCCCCAATATACAGATTTAAATAATTTRATATTTCAATAAAATTAATCAAAAATAGAATGGAGCCTTTCCACTACCCAGGGTCTCCCTCCTAAGTAGAAAGATAATGGAATAAACCTATCAGGTGGTATCCACACTGCTTAGTGTACTTTTGGGATGTGTTYCAGATCCACTGACAGTGAGTGGAACAAAAGAAAACAAAACAGAGAGCAGTCATTATTTCACACAGAGAAATCTGCTTGATACCTGCCCAAAATGCCTTCCCTAAGTATTTACCTACTTTAAAGAAACCCCGAATAATGAATAAAAATATACAGGTTTGAAAAATGGTAGCAAAGAATACATACATTCTATGTTGTGCAGTTTTAAAATGCATACAATGGACTATCACATCCATATACCTGCACTTATGAAATGTTTGCTTGAAGTTTTTCCTACTTGCAGAGTCCAAAGTGTTTTGAAGCACCAACTGCAAATTATGCTCTGAAAATATGTTTTAAAATGTTTTTTTTGTCAGTCTTGTTTTTTTTTACAGTCCTTCCTGGTGCCCACCAGGTCTCAACTAATTTCTTATGATTTTCTTTCAAGCAGCACTTTCAGCTGTGCAAGTCCTACTTCRGAAAGCTCCCTTTAACTTAGTCAGGTTTCCTCACAGGGAACAACACGGTGCTTTCTGAGAGGAGAATGCACTGTCCTGCTCCAGTTTAATGCCACATATTTTAATGGTGAGGTTTCCATACCTCAGGAAAACATGCTCCAACATGTCCATTGACAAACTCCAAGGCCGTCTTCAGCATCCACCCTGCCCTCTGCTGGCCTTGGAGCTGAAGACTCCCACTAGCGATGGSAGGAACACTTCTATAATTCAAGGGGTTTTTTTGCCTTTCACCTGATCTGCTGCTACACAGGACAAACCATATTTTAGAAGTTCTTCCTAATTACATTTTTCAAATTGCTGCTTATGGGTCTTAACACCATTTGGTGAAAAAATAACACCCCACACAGTCCCTGCAAGACAAGGACAAACAAATCAAACCTATAACTGGAAAGATTTGCTCTCCCCAATCTGGTGATTTCTGTGTTAATCCTTACCAGTATATGCCAGTATATGAGGGGTCCAAGCTAACCTCCAATTACAGATTACTGAGTGATGGGATAGGTAATGGCAGATCTGAGGAACTCTGTTGAGAGGGGAAAACCACTCAAATTTGGTGAAGCTAACTTCAAGCTGACAGTATTTTTTTAGCTCATCATCAGTCCCTTTTACCATGCTGTATGGAAAAAAAAGAAAAAGAGAGGAAATGGTCTTATCCAGTTCCTCAGAAATTTTCTCAGATATGGAATAACTTTCCATCTGTGATTGTGGGAGGAACTGATGGGCATGGCTCTGGTGTTTGTTCAGGTTTTTCTTGTAAAGTATGTGTTTAGATTGAAGACTTCTAGGCATAACCTAGAACAGCTTTTGAACCACTGCAATTTAGGCTATAGTTACTTTGGCTTCTGAACAATCCTTGTTGGGTCAAGTTTTCCCCATTTACAGACAATAACTTCAGCACAGTTTAGGCAGATATACACATACAGCATCTGAAGTAAGGACACAGCAGAGATGTGGGGTTTTTTTCTATCACTTTTTTTTTTTTTGTGGTTACCTTTTCATTTTAAAATGCAATAGGCAGCTGGGTATCCATGTGATGGTTGTGTTGAAGGACAATTCCTACTCTTAAGGGCTCCTTCAAGGTTTCTGTGGGTGCAACCACTCCTGCAACTCACCTGCAACCCCCAGCTGGTGTGTGGCAAACCCCGGCAGCCTGCTGGGCCCCTCTCCCAGCCACAGCGTCAGGGTGGAGGAGCTCTGCTCAGCATGATGGAAAGCAAAGCCTTGGGAGGCAGCCACTGCCACAAGRCTACTCTGGAGGATGGGGACATGGAGCCAGACAGCAACACGGCCTTCATCCCGCCACTGAGCCACGGACTCTGCAAGAGGGAAATGAGGGTCAGGAACCCCTTTGCCCTTGATCTGTGTCGTTTTAAACCTTACCATGCACAATAGCCATGGTTAATGTGCAAAAATCTGTATTTTCACCTMATTTACCATAGGGTTAAACTGKCATTRGTGTGAGAAGYTCATCAGCAGCGTAAGGGGCTGCC